GTTCTCCCCACCAGGCAAACCGGCTGGAAAAGGCGGTGGCCGCCGCCTACACCTTCCTCCAGAGGAACCCCAAGCACGAGCTGACCGCCAAGTATCTCAACTACTACCGGGGGATGCTCGACGTCGCCGACGAGTCCCTCACGGACCTCGAGGCCCAGCCCTATGAGGTGGAGTGGGCTGCTGGCCCTGGCACTCCTTCCTGACCCCCTCCCACCACACAGAGGGCTTGTAGAGGAGAAGTGTTGGGGTCCCCCTAACTCCCCTGCCACGTGCTCCCCCAGGCCGTGTTCGTTCGGGCGGTGAAGCTCTACAACAGCGGAGACTTCCGCAGCAGCACCGAGGACATGGAGCGCGCCCTGGCGGAGTACCTGGCTGTCTTTGCCCGCTGTCTGGCTGGCTGTGAGGGGGCCCACGAGCAGGTGGACTTCAAAGACTTCTACCCAGCCATAGCAGGTATCCCTCTCCCAGACCACTCCCAAGTCCCTCTCACCCACAGGGCCCTGCTTCCTAAGGCGGGAATATTCGTTCCATGCACGTTTATGGAGCATCTCCTAGTGCTCAGACGCTGAACAGACTGAGGTATGCTTGGCCTTCAGGGAGCTCTCTGCCCAGAGAGATGCTGGTGCAGGGTGCAGGGGGCTATGTTCAAGCGTGTCCAAGCGGCAGGGCATCCATGCAGAGTTGGCGACATCTCCAAAGAACCCCAGAAGGTGGGCTTTCCAGGCAGAGGGCAGTATAGGTGCCAGGGTGCCGAGGTGAAGCACAGCCCAGCAGATGGGTGTAGAAGGCAGCTTGTGGCCAGAAATCACACCTAGTTTTGGGGTCTCTTAGCCTGTGGTCTCTCAAGCAGGGCCGTTAAAGGGTTGTCCTCAGCTTTTCTGTGTGGGTTTCAACCCTGCCGTTCTAGAACTCCCTGGCTCCCTCTGAAGTGGGGTGAGGGTGAGCTGAGTGGGGTGTGTGGGCTCAGTCCACAGGAATCTTCCTCGGCTGTAGTGTGCCAAACACTTCCCATGCATGCTCTTGGGTGATCGCAGGAATGTGCTTTCTGGACAAGGAACCAGGTGCAGTGAGCAGAGGCAGGATTCATTCTCCCGCAGGCGATGGGGCCGTTCAGTGTGCGGGCCCTCACTGCTGCCCCACCCCCAGATCTCTTTGCAGAGTCCCTGCAGTGCAAGGTAGACTGTGAGACCAACCTGACCCCCAACGTGGGGGGCTACTTCGTGGAGAAGTTCGTGGCCACCATGTATCACTACCTGCAGTTTGCCTACTATAAGTGTGAGTGTCCTGGGCGAGCTCGGGCCGGCAGGGGCAAGGAGTGATGCGGGGGACCGCACTGGGGCCTCACAGAGTTGTGGGGTGCTCTCCCTCAGAACCGAGGACCCTGGGCAATGGGAGAAGAGGCTAGGGGTGGAGAGGATATGGGGAAGGAACCCAGAAGGATTCTGGGGGGGTGAGAGGCTCGTGAGTGGGCATGGAGAACAGCCTCAGGAGAAGTAGAGGGCCCCTTGGGCAAATGACCAAATACCAGCAACTGCGGCGAAGCGCTTTGCAGTTTATAAAGCCCTTTATCTTACTTGGTCCTCTCGCCCACACCGTGCAGCTGGCATTATTGGATGCATTTTTCAGATGAGGAAACTGAGGCTTAAGGAGGGCAAAGAATTGTTAGTCACATGACCTATAAAAATAGCATCAGGACTTGGGGCTCTTCTCACTTAAGACAGAGCATGACGTCCGCTGGGGCCCAGATGGACGAACTCCGGGGTTCCTGCATGTGGAGGCGCCATGATCCAGACAGAGGCTGCAGTTGGCACAGACAGGCTGAGGACCAAGAGACCAGGAGCCCCCTCACAGCTATGGGCAGCAGAGAGCTTGAGGGCCTCTGATTCCCAGCACTAGTGCCCCCCAGCTGTGTGAGCTTGAGCAATTTACTTAACCTCTCTGTGCCTCAGACTTCTCTGTAAAATGAGAATGACGGTAGCAGGGAGGCTGGGCGGAGTTACACAGGGCCTGGCCTCAGTGAGTGCCCTGTACATGCAGTCTCCACGGTTATGGGGCAAGGGAAGGAGCCCAGCAAGTATCTGGGGAGGTGGCTGGGCAGCAGGGACACTGGATTGAATTGGAAATGGAGTAGGGTGGGCCACACGGGGGTTGACCTGAAGGGACGTGCCGGGGCCACTCCTCACCCTGTCCTGTCTGCAGTGAATGATGTGCGCCAGGCCGCCCGCAGCGCCGCCAGCTACATGCTCTTTGATCCCAAGGACAGCGTCATGCAGCAGAACCTGGTGTATTACCGCTTCCACCGCGCTCGCTGGGGCCTGGAAGAGGAGGACTTCCAGCCCCGGGAGGTGGGTGCCACTTTGTGAGGGAGCTGCTGGACATGTAGTTGGTTAAACACAGACACACACACACGCACACACACACACACGCATGCACACACCCTCGTCTCTTTAAAAAGCAGGATAGGAGGTGGAAAGTAAGAATATGAGTTTTGTGCCGAGTCCTGGGTTCAGCCCCCAGCCCCACGTGGTGTGGTCCTGGGAACATCACTGACCTCCGAATCTCTTGCCTTACCTGTGAAGTGGGGGTGGTGCTCCAGTCTCACCCACTTGGGATGTGAGGATGGGATGTACGAAAATCCACATCTGTTCCTGCCTGTTCCCCTCCCTGCCTTCGTCACCCTCACTGCTAGCCTCTGTCCTTCTTCCCCGGGACCCTCTACCCTGAACAAACCGAGGGAACCCCTTGGAATCCAGAGCAAAACTGGCGAACACGGGGCACACCGTGCTCCTCCTGCTGTCCTTGTCAGTGGCAGACTTTGCTAATTGATCAAGGTGCTCTTTCTTTCTCACTGAGCCCTCAGAATCCTTTTTTTTTTTTTTTAGATGTTTTTGCGATAGGATGCGTGTGCTCGCCAGACAGACAGAGACAGAGAGACAGAAAGCGAGAAATCACCACCCAGGGGGATGGCCACGCCGCAATCCCTTCTCCTACATTCTCCTCTCGGGATCTTGGGCACGCACGCACACGCGCCTGGCATGAGTTTTAAGCCACTGGGTCTGGGACACGAACCGTGGTCGACTACATGGGAGTCCAGTGACATAGCCATTACGCTGCTCCCCGGAATCCTTCTTAACCCAGTGCTCCAAGCAACTGTAATTACTTGATTATCATGTGAGCTGATACCTATTCACTGAGCTGGAAAAGGGCCAGTGGACCCCACTCCTAGGAGCCCTGGTTCCCTGCCATCTGGTAGCAAGCTCCTTTCTGCTCACCCCCATCCTTCCTCTTCCCAGGAGGCCAAGCTCTACCACAACCAGACCACGGAGCTGCGGGAACTGCTGGAGTTCACGCGCATGTACCTGCAGTCAGATGATGAGGTGCGTGGCCCCTGCCCTCCAGGGGTGGGCCGTGATGGGGACACCTTGGGCCTTCCCCTAGGGCCACTGTGTTCAGTCCCACCCTGGGAGTCAGCTGAAGCAGGAGAGTTTGCCACCTTTTGTCTACACCTTCCCTTTCCTCTTCCACTCCAGGGTTCTAGTGCCCCCTTCTCTACCTACCTCAACCCTGTTTGTCTTGGACCCAGCTAAGATGATACCTCCTCCAGGAAGCCCTTGCTGCATGCCCTGGCTCTCTTGGCTTTGCAGTGCCAGCTCTGTCCCCCTTTGCCTCCCTGACCATGGCATGGGCCTGGAGTGCTTTACAATCCTGTTCCGTCTTATCCCCACACACTTTTCCAGCCAGTCTCCTGGAGGATTGCATTCCAGGACAGGGGATCAGGGTAGTCCTGATCTCCCAAAGCACCTAGCACAGAGCTTGTGCTCAATGACTGAGTTTGAATGAACCAGTGAGTGAATGGTGGAGTGAAAGCAGGACTCCAGGAGAGAACGACCATACTGTATTACATTGCCCCGAATGTGGATTCGACAGCCTCCGTCTCTCTGAGGTGTTGCTGTTCAGGGCTTGTTTATTCATCCTCACCTTTGCTTCCACGTATACCTTGTCCCCATTCATCAAACGTGGGGGCAGGGTCTGTGTGTCTGCACCAGGCTTGGTGCTAGCCAGACCTGGCTTCACCTCTAACTGGAAGCCTCCAGGCAAGCCTTCAGTAGCCTCTCAAACCCCTGTTTCTTTATCCAGCAAGTAGGGAGAATAATACCATGTCATTCTGTTGTAGTGAGAATGAAATGAGATCACATCCATATGGCACTTAATATGAACTGGCACATAGTAGGTGCTCAGTGAATGATGGGGGGGGGTTGCTAGAGGACCCACACTTGCCAGAGAGACAGACAGACAGAGGGAGAGGGAGACGGAGAAAGTGCCCCCACAAGTCATGGTCACACGTAATCCCTTCTCCATTTCTTCATCCTGTCTCGATTTGGGCACACACACATGCCTTGTGTTTTCTTTGTTTAGTTTTTGCTATAGGGCACAGACATTTGTCAGAGAGAAAGAGAGAGAGAAAGTGTGAAGTCACCCCAAAGGGAGGATGGCCATGCTGCAGTCCCTTCTCCTCCAGTCTTCTTGTGGGATTTCGGGCATGCATGCATGCACATGCACCCAGTGTGCTTTTCTTTCTTTCTTTTTCTTTTTTTTTTTTCAGGGAGACTTTTGCTCTAGGGTGCCTGTGTTTGCTGGAGACAGAGAAAGAGAAAGTGAGAAATCCCCGCCCCCTGGGGCGTGGCCATCCCCCCTGGGGGGTGATTTCTTGCTCTCTGTCTCTCTGTCTCTCTCTGTCTTTCTGGCAAGTGCACACACCCTATAGAAAAAACCCCTCCAAAAAAAAAAAAAAAGAGAGAGAGAGAGAGAAAGAGAGAACACGCTAGGTATGTGTGGGTGCATGCCTAAAATCCCCAAGGAAGAGAGAAACAGAGAAAGGATTGCAGTGTGACCATTGGGGTGCTTTCCCACTTTCCCTCTCTTGCTGGCTCTTTATTTCCCTGCCAGTGCACCCAAACTTAAAAATCAGTAGCTAAGATCCAGCAGATGGCGTGGTGGTTAAAGGCGCAGGACTCTCATATGGCTGACCATGGTTTGAGTCCCAGCCCTGGCAGGGAGAGTGCTTTCTCCCTCTCCCTCTCTCTCTCTGCTCAAATTAGAAACAAATAATAATGATGATAATAAATGAAATGAAATAAAATAATTTGTAAAAATCAGTAGCTAAAACCCAAGGCGGGGCTGTGGAGAGGTGCTGCTGACCCTAACGTCTGCTGCTGGAGCCCAGTGTAGCAGTTCGTGGAGGGGGGTGGTATGGAAGTGAGACCTTAGGAATAGAAACCCTCAAAATGTGCTCGTGTCAGAGACGAGCTGGGGAGTGGGCTTGGGATGTCAAGATGGGGCAGGAGGTCTCCTTGGCCAGGGAGGAACCCCATCTGGTTTGGGGCTACTGTGACCGTTTTTCTGCCTCCCCTGGGTCTGCTCTAGATGGAGCTGGAGGAGACAGAACTTCCTGTGGAGCCTGAGAACCCCCCCTCTGACTCTGAGTTTGAGGGGGATGGTGACTATGAGGAGGGCATCTATGCCAACTGGTGGCAGGAGCCGGATGCCAAGGGAGACGAAGCTGAGGCTGGTCAGTGACTTGGGTCCTGATGGGAAGGGGTGGGGACTCAGCTTGGAATGGAGGCTGGAGCCAGGTGGGTCCACCCACTGAGCTACAGAGCCAGCGGGGTGTGTGGGTGCTGGGACCCTGTTCCAGGGGTTCCAGCCTCTTAGCCACTGCTGTCCTGGTTGGAGCCAGGGCCCACTGAGATCCTGAGACTTTCCTGGGGAGCCCCACTGCTGCCTACCCCACCTCCCTCCAGACCTTACCCAGATACCTGGCTGCAGTGTGTGTGGGTGATGAACCCCAATGCTTTCTCCTTTCCTTTTCAGAGCCAGAGCCTGAACTGGCATGAAAAGGAAGTCTTCCTGCACCCAAGAGCTGGGAAACCTGTGCCCAGTGGTACCACCCCACCAGCCTGGGCAGCAGAGAGATCTATTTATTAAAAATGCAGCAGGGCCATGGACCAGGCCCCATCCTGCCTCGCCGGTGAGCGCTGCCTTCTCTGTGTCTCTGGCCCACAGGTCTATGGTGGTGCTGCAGGTTGGCAAGTCAGCCAAGGGGCTCCGTCCTCCTTCCCCCGACAGTGTTGTGGAGGGGAAGGGTCCAGCTGCTGGCTGGAGCCTCAGCCCAAATTGCAGAGGGTCAGCAACGCCATCAAGAGCACTGGGCCAGGAGTCTAGCGGTTCTGGTGGACTGACTATGGTGCTCAATAAACATTTGTTGTTGAATGAATTGCAGCATGTGAGGTTCAGGCTCCCCCAGACTGTCATGAGGATGCAGGTCTGCCCCTGGCCCTCTGTACCCATGTAAAATGTGGGGTGAGAAGCACAGGTTGGTGCTCTGGGCACGTGTGTGTGTGTATGTGTGTGTGTGTGTGTCCCGTGAGCAGTGCGCAATTGCAGACTCGCCACCAGGGGGCATGAGGACACACTCTCCTTCCCGGAAGATGGTGGTTTCGGATTTCTGTGATGGGATGTCCTGCATTTTCCCAGTTCAGCATCACTTCCCTGGGGGAATGTGGCCAGTGTGGGGAGGGGGCCAGGACATTGACTCTCAGGGCTTACTTTCTGGGCATTTACTGACCCAGGTTCTGTAGAGTCAAGAAACCTGCCTGCTCTGCCCTCTCTGACCTTTCTTTCATTCTACCTCAAGGCAGGGGCCCCAGCTCAGCAGCCAGAAAAGCCTTAGGGATCTGGTTTGGTTAGTTGAGACTTCCTGGGGCCCAATGGGACAGCTAGACAGACCCCTCTTACCCAGTCTTGCATTGGCTCTTGGGGGCAGAGTCTGGATGTGAGAGGGCAAGGGTAGTGGTGAGAGCTACCCCTCAGCACAGTGACTCACCACCATTGCACACCAGGGAGGTGGAGGCAAAACGGGTCTCGGTCCTACTCCCCACATTTCGAGCCTCCCAGGGGCAGAGTGGCAAAGGCGTCTTCCTACTGAAGGTGGAGTCAGAGTTGAAGGTTGAGTTCTCACTGCCACACCTCTACCCACCCCCAGAAGGTAACCAGGCCCACCTCAACCCATGAGGACTCCCTGTCCCACCCTGCCTGAAGCCTTTGGTCTGGACTGGATTGGAAGACCAGGCTGAGAGCTCTATGACCTCATTCTACCCTCCTCCCTCCCAGAAGTGGCTCTGCAGGGGCAGCGTTTCCTGCAGCTCCCAGGTGCCAGGGTGACTCTGCCTCACTCCACCCCTTTTAAGCTGCGGTGTTGTAAGCGGCTACTGAGGCCCCGCCCCTGTTTCTGGGAGGGGCCGTCCTCCAGGCTGGTGCTTCAGAGGGTGGGGAGCCAGGATGTGCTTGAGCGTGTCTGCGCAGAGAGTGCTGTGAGTATGAGCTCTGGAATCCGGACAGCTGGGTGTGGATCTGAAAGAGCCTGTGTGCTGTCATGAGTGCGCTGTGCCAGGTGTCGCGTGGATGTGCAGGTCTGGGAGGGAGTGCCTGTGTGCACAGGTCTGAGAATGCCCATGACAGCCTTGTGGGTGACAGTGTCTCTCGGCATCTGGGTCTTTGTGTGTGTCTGTGAATGTGTGTGTGACTTTGCTAGAGGGCGGGTGTGCTCTTTGGAGCGAGAGAGAGAGAGAGAGAGAGAGAGTGAGGGAATGTGAAAAAGCTCCCCTCGTGGGACATGGTCATGCCCTTCTCCATATTTTCGGAGAACATGTGCCCGGCGTGTTTTTCAAGCTAGCAGGTCAGGGACTTGAATTGCGCAGTCGACAGTGGGATCTAGCCACCTCACCACTGTGCCACTGGCTGACCCCCGAGTGTGTTTTCAACGGCGTGTATTTACGGAGCACCTGCTGTGTGCCAGGTATGCTGTAGAGGTTGGGCAGCCCACAGTGAGTGGATCAGGCCAAACACCCTGTCCTGCAGAGCTCACATTCCAGTGGGGACACAGGCAGGAAACCGAATGTTCTAACATCTAAGTTAGGAAGGATGGGTAGTTGTGACAGGAACACAGAGACAGGTAAGAGGGATCGAGAGCCCAGGTTGCAGTGTCAGTGTTGTCTCTTTTTTTGTTTTTTAGTTTTTGCTATAGTGTGTGCATACTCGTCAGAGAGAGAGAAAGAGAGAGAGAGAGAGAGAGAGAGAAATCACCCCCGGGAGGATGGTTACACCACAATCACTTCTCCTCTAGTCTCCTCTAAGGATTTTAGGCATGCACGCACATGTGCCCAGCATAATTTTCAAGCTGCTGGGTCCTGGGATTCAAGACACACAGCTGGTCCTATGGGATCCAGTGCCTTAACCTCCATGCCACCTGCTGGTCCAAGTGTGTGTGCCCATACGTATGCCCAAGTGTGCATGAGTCTGAGAATGTTTGGTGAGGCCATGTCTGCATCAAGGGGGCTAGAAGGCTGGCCCCTCTTAGCCCTTCCCATCCAGGCCAGCTCCCTCCCCCAGGCCTTTAGCCCAGGTCCTCTTTGTCCTGAGTCTTACTCAGCTCCCTTTCCCAGGGAACTGCCAGCCCCTCCCACTGCTTCCTGATGTCAGCGTCTCCTCATTGCCCAGCCAGCTTCCCAAACCGGTGAGACCGAGTCGCAGTCCCAGCCCCAGCGTGGGCCCTCTGGGGCCCTCCAGCCAATTCCAACCCCACCCAGTCCAGACGCCCTGCCTACCTCCTCACCCCACCCCCTGACACCCCGCCCAGTGCCTCGAGATTCTCAAAATCTAGTTTGATGGGTAGCAGGTTAGGGATGGCGGAAGGAGTGCTGGGACTGCAGACCTCACACAGTGGGCCAGATTCAGAGATGCCACAGCATCCTGGACTCAGAAAGAACTCATCCTAAGGAAATCAGAGCTGCAGGAGTGTATGGAGCACCTACTGTGTGCCAGGCACCTGACAAATTATTTATAACCTCCAAAACAGTCTTGGAACGTGGATATCAATTCCCCTCTGCCCCACCTGGGGTAAGAAGCAACTTGTCCGAGGCTCCTTGAGGTGGTTGGTGGCTGAGCAGGGCAGGAAGGACATGCTGCTCAGAGAAGGGCAGGAAGGGAGAGAACGCCCTGGTCCCAGCTGTGGGCCTGGCTCCTATAGGCTGTCAGCTGGGGCCAGAGCAAGGACGGTGGGGGCTGTGGATATAAAGACATGGTCCCTCAAATGTCCTGCTCAGGAGGGAGGCCAGGAGTTTGAAAAGGAGGGATGAAGAGGGGCAGAAAGTACCCTTTCTGTCCTGCCCTTGTTTTGGGTCCATAGGATGAGGCCTGAGGGCAGGGGCCCTGGACAGCATTGCTGGGGTCACTGAGACCACAACTTCCTGAATCCTGAGAGTGCTGGTTAGGGGATAGGGGAGGGAATCCCATGGACTCCTCCAAATTCCAGTAAATTCTGAAGGAAGAGACTCCTCTTTTTGATTTGAAAATAGTCCTTGAAGTCTCACTCTGGTGCTTCTTCTCTCTGGGAGAATAGCATCTCCCCCGGGACAAGAGCACGTCACAAAACTGTGTCTAGTTGGCACAGGGACCGGCAGCTCGGCCTGACTGGGGAGGTCCTAGCAGCTACAGGGCCTGAGCTCCCCACACCCCGTCCTGCAGCTCCACTATTCTGGAGCCTTCTCCCACAACACACGGCCCTAAATTCACAGCTGGGGGAACTGAGGCCCAGAGCTGGGGCTCACGCTAAGCTAGGTTGGCGCAGCCCTGCCCAGCTCCCTCCATAATTGACTTCCAAGATGACTGGGATTAGGTGGGAGCGTGCTGGGGGCCCAGGAAGCCCACTGGAACCAGCCCCAGCCCAAACCCCAGCTTGACCTGTGACCACATCACCCCATAATCACCACCTGCCTGGGTCCCAGCTGGCGCCAGCGGTCTTGGATAGCATCTCTTTTGTCCCCTAGAAGCCCTTGGGATGAGAGCGCCTCTCATGCTCATGACTCAGGCGGGGAAACTGAGGTAAGGGGAAGATGCGCTTGCTGGCTTACCCCTCCTCCCACATACAGTCTGAATCCAGAGTGGCAGCATGCACCATGTAGGTCACCTGTGAAGAGGTCAGGAGAACCTCACATTTTCCACTCTGGGTCACCTATTTGATCCGTCCTTTCAGAGGAAAAGTGCAATGTCTGTCCTGGGGCCAGATTCTCACCTTCTCGCTTGACCTCCTGGCTAAATCCTCTTGGCCTTCCTGGAGGAGGAGACTGAGGAGAGACAGGGTTCAGCCAGTGTAGGGGGAGTCTGGCCTTTCTCCCTGGCCCTGGTAGGTGTGGGGGACATTTAAGGGCTTCATAGCAGTAAAAAAAATCTCTCATTAAAACTTTTTATATTGGGGGACCAGCAGGTGGCATGGAGGTTAAGGTGCTGAATCCCACTGGTTGACTGTGGTTCAAGTTCTGGACCCAGCAGCTTGAAAAGTCATGCTGAGTGTGTGTGTGTGTGTGTGTGTGTGTGTGTGTACATGCATGCCCCAAATCCCTAGAGACTGGAGAAGAGATGGTGTGGCCCTCCCTCTGGAGGGTGATTTCTCACCCCCCCCCCTTACTCTGGCAGAAGCACATGCCCTATAGCAAAAGTGTAAACAACAAAAACAATAAAATGTTTTATGTTGGGCCAGTCAGGTGATATGATGGTTAAGGTGGCTGGATCCCACACCAGTGACTGCGCAGTTCAAGACCCACACCTGGCAGCTGGCTTGAGAAACATGACAGGCTCTCGTGTGTGCCCAAAATCCCGAGAGGAGAGTGGAGGAGAAGGATTGGGGCACGGCTATCCCCTGTGGGGCGGTGCTTTCAAACATTCTTTCTTTTTTTGAAGATTATTTAATTTTGTTTATTCATTAATTTATTTTAATTTGACCAGGCACACACACACATAAAGGGAAAGCGAGAAAGCAACCACCAGGTCTAGGACTTGAACCTTGTTCAGCCATGAGGGAGTGTCCAGCGCCTTAGCCACCACTCCACCTGCTGGTCCCTGCTTTCAAACTTTCTGTCTTTCTGTCTCTCTCTCTCACTCCCTCTCCGTGGGGGAATGTACATGCCCTGCAGCAAACAATAAGAATGATAAAAAAAGAAAACTTTGAATGTTGTCTTCGAATGAGGTTTTTACACACAGTCCCAAAGACAGCAGGACTGAAGTAAGAAAATGCTTCACATATGACTTTAATGTTTGGCACAAATATTTTGATAACCCTATTGTTTATGAATACCTTAGTAACCTCAAGACTGGAAATGTCCGGGGCCTGGAGCCCCTTCCCCCACTTCCCATGCACTTTGGACCTGGCTGGCTTC